GCACGCACGCACGCACGCACGCACGGCACACGTGTGTGTACGTATATATGTGTTGCTAGCAGGACACCCGTGTTGCCGGGAAATAAAGCGGCCCTCAGTGGATGACCACTTGGGTTGAAATAAAAATACCGCGAGAATCTATCTTATCTATTCGATCTAGTCTATCTATCTATCTATCTATGCTGTCTATCTATGCTTCTACTATCGATCTAATCTATCTATCTATCTATCTAGTCTATCTATCTATGCTTTATTGATGCTATTATCTGATCTATCTATCTATCTAACTATATCTAATCTATTCATTATCTATCACTATCTATCTTACTATCTTCTACTATCTATGCTATCTTATCTATCTATGCTATCTATCTAATCTATCTATCTATCTATCTATCTATCTATCTCTATCTATCTATCTATCTATCTATCTATCTATCTATCTAATCTATCTATACTTATCTATCATCTATCTATCTATCATCTATCATTATCTATCTATTCTATCTATCTATCTATCTATATCTATCTATCTACTATCGTATTCTATCTATCTATCTATGCTATCTATCTATCTATCAGTCTATCTATCATTATCGCATCTATCTATCTAATCTATCTATCTATCTATCTATCTATCTATCTATCTATCTATCTATCTATCTATCTGATCTATCTATCTATGCTCTTCTAATCTATCTATCTTATATCTACTATATCTATCTATCTATCTATTATAATATATATATATAATATATATATATATATAATATAGTCCACATCTATAGTCTTTTATTAGTGCTGTATCTTGCCACACTTGCTATCAACGCTAGTGGCAAGGTGATGTTCTTGACGGACAGATGACATTGCGAATGTAACATCAATGCATGTATAGTAAATCAATGTTTACGCGCATTGTACAGTACATGCGCAAAGTCATGCAAAGTGCATAGGCGCGTTTTTATCTGCATTGGGCCGCCGTTTATTTACTGCTGCGGAGGGTGCGTTGATTTAACGCCTGGTTCTTTTCTCCTCCTGCGACGTGGTCAGATGACCTCGCGACTGGTCAAATCCAATGCTGCCCATAATATTCAACATCCAAGGTTACATCTAATGGCTATCATTCGGACATATAATCTAGAGTGGCCCATATTGATTTGAATCTGAGAACACACAACAAAGAACCACAACATAGGTAGTTAGATTTAGCGGGCAAACTAAGTCTTAATCTAACTTCGTTCTTAACGTTTTCAGTATCAAATTTTTGAGATTAAATAACACCTGATTACATGATATGATATTGATTGCTGCAGTACTGCTGAGAATCCTGGCTTGGCGATGACGTAGTGCAGGCAAGTGGACGCCAGGCTGCTCCACATCAGTACGAACCAGATGCTGTTGGTCTAACGAGGAGGGCTTCTCTGTGTAGTGTTTTACATATTCCGCTGTTTCTTTCTCTCTCTCTCTCCATCTCCTCTTCTTTCGTCTCTTCCTTTCTCTCCTCTCCTCTCTCTCTCTTCCTCTCTCCTCTCTCTTTTCGGAATTCCGTATCTTGATTTCTCTCTCTCTCGTCCCCATCTCTCTCTCTCTCTCTCGTCTCTCCTCTCTCCATTTCTCTTTCTTTCTCTCTCTCTCTTTTTAGCGAATTCCGTATCTTCTTCTCTCTCTCTCTCCCCACCTCTCTTTCTCCTCTCTCTCTCTCTCTCTCTCTCTCTCTCTCTCCATTGCTCTCTTTCTCTTCTCTCTCTCTTCTCTCTCTCTCTCGTCTCCGCCATCTCTCTCTTTCTCCTCTCTTCTCTCTCTCTCTTTCTCCAATCTCTCTCTTTCTCTATCTCTCTCTCCTTTCTCTCTTCTCTCTCTCTCTCCTCTTCTCTCTCTCTCGTCTCTCTCTCTCTTGCTCTCTGTTTTCGCTCTCTCGCGTTTCTCTCTTGTCTCTCTGCTCGCTTTTTCTCTCACACTTTCTCTCTCTCTCTCTTTACGACGTTGCACGCTATCTGTCATAATTAAACCTCACCTAGAGAGGTTTGAGATAAGTTACTATTGAGAGCGGTGTAAGCAAATCTTGTGCTGCGCGCTAGCGATGTTGTTTTTTCCGTTATTACGCCGGATTATTTTTCACCACGTACGCGCAATGCACCAGTTCATTAACGTCTAGTAGAAGCGCCGCGACATTAAAATTTTGTACCGAAAAACATGATCTCTATGAGAAATCTTGTTGAAAAACTCTTGAAAGGTTGGCGAAACCAAAACCAAAAAAACGACCGATTACCAGAACGCCAACCCGCGATCCAACCCTCACCCCCACTAGCGCTACCCTAACCCTACCCCTAACCCCAAACCTAAGCGTTACCCTAGCGCTACGCTAATGTACCCCCTAACGCTTACAACCTACGGCTACCCCTATCGGCTACCACTATTGCGACCCCTAACGCTACCCCTAACGCTACCCCTACCCTAACCCTAACGCTAAACACGCTAACGCTTAGCCCTAACGCTACCCGAACGCATGGGAACAGAAATAAGAGCCGGATGTAACTGGCCACTGTTCAGTTGTGGTGCATGCTCTCTTTCTCGCAAGGCGCGTCTAGGCGGGTCACAACGCTTGTGGCACGAGGTGCGAGATGTCTGCTCTTTCTCCAACGTCGCCGTCATCAGGAAGGAAGCT